AGGAGTGGCACAGCAGGACGGAGGAGCTTCTAGTCCTTGTTTCAGTGTGCTTTCCTCTTACCCCTGTAGGTTTCTTCTACTAGAAGCACTTGGGACATCCAGTGATGCTCACCTTCCAGTGAGTTCTGTTAGCATCCCCGTAGGGACTGGAGCACCCAACGGAACTCACAACTCCAGTGATTTCACTGACACTCCTACAGGTGATTTCCCAGCAAGCTTTGCCAGCACAACAAAGTGTAGCTTCCTAGCTTCAGCAGCACCGCAGGAGGCAGCTTCCTAGTGAGTCTCATCACACCGCAGAAGGTGGTTTCCTGCTGGCCAGTTCCAGCATGCAACATCTCGGCAAACGTCTATGCAACACACAGGGCCACAGCCACGGTATCCAGTGAGATCTGAATCTCAGCCTTGTGAAGAAGCCCTCTTTCATTTTTTCTCCTTCCTTAGGTGCTCTGCCCTAGCCAACAAATGGCTGGTCCCTGTATCTGCTATTCCTGCGTTCTTTAGAGTAGTTAATCCCTAGTTAATAATTCTTTATCTTAAAATTTTCCTGTTCAAATTACTAGTGTGGTTTCTATCTCTTGACTGGACCTTGAGTGATACAACTCATAATTCTACCTAAGACTTAAGAACCTCACAAACTCTTTCAGAAAATAAAGCAGTAGGAGCAGGTCCTGTATCAAAGTTTGATTAATCATTGTTTAATTTTCAAATATTAAACCAACTTTCCATCCTTGGAATACAGGACACATCATGACCAAGTTGGGTTTATTATATATTGGTGGATTTAATTTGCCACCATTTGGTTAGGGGTTTTTGTTTTTTTCCATTCATACAGAATGTTGGGCTGTGGTTTTCTTTTCTTGTACTGTCTTTGGTTTGGGTAGCAGAGTGATGAGTCATATTCAGTGTGATGAATCTCTCAATTTAGACAGACAAATAGCTATATATATACACACATACATACATATCAGGGTTTCAGTTAGGAAGTGCGATGAATCTCTCAATATACATTACAAATAGCTATATATACACACACATACATACATATCAGGGTTTCAGTTAGGAAGTGCGATGAATCTCTCAATATACATTACAAATAGCTATATATACACACACATACATACATATCAGGGTTTCACTAGAGCAACAGAATCAGCAGAATATGTATGTGTGTATACACACATCCTGTGATGGTCATATTCCTGAGAACATCACTCTGATACTCAAACCAAAGACAGTACAAGAAAACTACAGTCCAACATTCTGTATGAATAAAAAAATGAAAACCCTTAATCAAATATTGGCAAGTCAAATCCACCAATACATAAACAGGGTAATAAACCTCACTTGGTCATGATGTATCTTAAGGACAGAAAGTTGGTTCAAATTTGAAAAGAAAACAATGTGACTTGCCACATTAACAGAACAGAGAAAAATTTTATCGTCTCATTAAATATACAAAAAGAATTTAACAAAATGCAACACCTATTCATAATAAAAAATTCTCAGCAAGTTAGAAATAAACTTCTCTAACACAATAAAGGTCATCTGGGGGAAAAAAAAAACCCTACGCTTAACATCACACTTGATGATAAAGGTGCATTTCTGCATGTACACTGACAGAGTTCATTGATGTTCAATAAAGGCTAGTCTTTTCAATAAATAATGCTGGAAAAAAACTGGATATCCCTATTTAAAAAAATGTTCATCTTCATTTCCCACTATATACAGAAATTAACACAAAATGGATCACAGACTAAATGTAAAAGGTAAAAATATAACACTTATAGAAGAAAACAAAGGAGAAAATCCTTGTGAACTTGAAGTAGATGAAGATTTCCTGGAACACAAAAATCACCTATCATAAAAGATGAAACAACGAACTGGACCTCCAAATTAAATTTTGTACTCTTAAAAATATACTGTTAGATTTACTGGCCTTACAGAGACTGGAGAAACCCCAAGAGTATGGCCCCTGGACACCCTTTTAGCTCAGTGGTGAAGTCACTCCTGAGGTTCACTCTTCAGCCGGGGATTGGACAGCCCCATAAAACAAAACGGGACTAACGAGGCACAGCAGTCCAGGGACGAGGACTAGAAGGCAGGAAGGGACAG